ACCGGGAACTAATTTGTTTCTAAGCAACAGGCTGCGCATGCTTGAAGAAGAGTTAACAGGCCGAGTGCAGAGGACTTTATTTTTACGTGGACAGTAGGGGAAGTTAACAAATAAACGCCTCTGCCAGCAGGGTATGAACATTCACTCTCGACGTTCAGAGTTTCGACATTCACTTTCGACATTCACATGTGGCATTCACTTTCGATATTCACTTTCGACATTCACTTTCGACGTTCACTTTCGACATTCACTTTCGACATTCATTTTCGACATTCACTTTCGACATTCACTTTCGACATTCAAACTTTGAACATTCAAACTCAGCGTCCGTTTGGTCTGGGTACGAGAATATGGATATGTTCAGTGCACCTTTGTTTCTCTATCTTTGATGCCGTCAGGAATCCTCAACAAAGTTTTATTTGAGGATGCTCCTTGACCCAACCTTTATTTCCTTCTCTTTCATACACCCACCACTGAAAATGGTATGTTTTATGCTGATTTACCTTCGTGGGAAACTACATCTGCATATGTTATCAAATTTCGAATTGCTCGTACAACATATTTTGTTTCAACTTGCCAAATTTCGATTTTGTGATATGCCAAGGGCCTTCAGATAAAAAGATCCGACTCAACCAGTCCCCCTCCAAGCTTTTTATCCTTCTCTATTTATACTATCACTGAGTACGTGGAACCCAAGCAGGCGAAGGGAAAAACTCCAGGTGGGGGGATTCCCATATGAAGCAGACAGGGATGCTCGTCATCTCGCTTAGGGGTGTAAATTTTGGATTTTGGTCTCGCTTAGGGTGTTCCAGGCAAAGTGCCAATATTTTAAGCCGCTAAGGTCACGTTTAGAGTTCCTCGAAGAAATACAGAACTACGCAAAGAGAAACAGAAGTAAAATTTTCTTTTTAACTTGTTTTGTATTACCTCAACTGAGTTTTCTATTTTACCAAGTGCCAAAGAGACAATGCATGAACATGAGCAGTCTCTTTTAGGGGTCAAATTTGCTTAAGCCACGCCCAAATGGTCTCATTTAGGGGTTAAATTTGAAATTTCCAACGAGAATCCCCGTCTGTTTCAGATGGGAGTCCCCCCCCCCCG